GTCAAGGCTGCGGTGGCCAGGAGCGGCCACTGCACTCCACTCTGGGCGACAGAGTGAGACTCCAACTCAAAAAATAAATAAATAAATAAATAAATAAATAAGATAATCAGCAATTCATTGTCTCTTGCTATCAGAAAGGAGAAGGGGAAGAGGTCAGGACCATTTAAAACCACTGTTGATGACAAGTCACAGGTGCCGTGTTACAGTTTCTTCTAGATTACTGTCCCTGGGTACCCAATGGCATGGAATTCAGGGTTGGCATACAGGTGCTCAGGGAGGCTGTTCAAAAATATCCTCTGTGGCAGGAAATGTCCAGCATTAGGTCAAAGCCATTTTGTCACAGATCATCCACACGAGGAGAAACCATCAGTGGTTACCTGCCCAGCCCATCCTCCATCTCTCCTCCTCTTCCCTGGAGGTAGCCCCATCCCAAGGCAAGGGTAGGACCCCGAAGCCATATTTACATCAATGAAGTGAAATACCCTAGTCTAGCTGCCACCTCCTTGGTCACAGGTGATTGGGCCAAGTAGATTCTTACAACTAGGAATCCAGCACTGAGATGTCCAGGCGAGGCCCCCTAGAGGTCTTCAGCTGGGAGATGTGGGGAGTTGAAGGTGCCAGCCTGGACAACCACATTTGCCTACGTGAATGGAAAAACCAGGGAAGCCAGGCTGCAGAGAGAGGAGAATGAAGCAGATACATAAGGGAAGCTAAGATGAGAAGCTGCGCAGCCCAAGAGAGGAAGCCAAGAGTTATCTCTAACCCCACTAACCTGCCAGACCCTGGTTCTAATTCCTCCTGAGACTCAACCCTGCTTCAATCCTCAACCTTGGCTTCTTACATTCCCCAAAAGTTCTGGCAGGCTTCATCTGTTGGTTTCTTGTTTGCTTAAACTACTTTGAGCAGGTTTCTGTCTTTTTCAGTATAAAAGTAAGATAATTAAGATCTGAGCCGGGCTCGGTGGCTCAGCCTGTAATCCCGTGCCTTTGGGAGGCTGAGGTGAGTGGATTGCCTGAGCCCGCAGGTTGGAGACCCGCCTGGGCAGGCAAGACCTCATCTCTACAATAAATCAAAAAATTAGCCGGGTGTGGTAGCGCACACCTGTAGTTCCAGCTACTTGGAAGGCTGAGGCAGAAGGATCACCAGAGCCCAGCAGGTCGAGGCTGCGGTGGCCGGGAGCAGCCACTGCACTCCAGTCTGGGCGACGGAATGAGACTCCAACTCAAAAAAAAAAAAAAAAAAGAAAAAGATCTGACCATGCATTCCAGAAGCTTTCTGGAAGAGATGATGGCTCTCTTTCACACATACTCCATCCGGAAGCTCATTTATTCTTATCTGGAGTTCAAAGAGTTTAACAATGCCTGAAGAATGGGTAAAAATTACTTGGGGGAAAGAAATCATCTAAATTTCCCAGGAACAAGGGGATAGGTAAATTATGGTTGATTGATCTGATATATTTTGTTGATGCACTACCAATGAAAGTAATTTTTTAAAGATCTACACTTCAAAATGGAAAAACAGTAGGATACAATATCAAACAAAAATAAAAATACAGAGCTACCATCTGCCATGATTACAACCACTATTATATAAAACTTACACACTAAAATGGTATCATAATCATAATAAAAATCACTACCACCAAATTTGTTAGTGATGGGTTTACAAATGATTTGCTCTCCTTTTTCCTCCAGTATCACTCTACTGAGTTGTTAATACAAGTAATATTAATAAATTGATACAATAAAAAACTTAAAAAAAAATTAGTCTCCCTCAGGACTGTATGATGAACATGAGGACTTAGACAACCAATAATTTTTCCAATAGTTCTGGGAGTCGGCTGGCCTGGTAGTTATCTAGTCCAAACTTATCCCATTCCAATGAACACAGCTGAGGATCTCACATGAAGGAATAAAGATATGCCAAGAAGCAAGTTCATGTGCTGTGAAATGCCTGCCTCAGAAGGTAGATGTGACTATTAACTAAGTTAAGGCATGCCAAATGTCTAGCACAGTGTTTGGCATATAGTCAGTGCTCAATACACAGACATTCAATCCTTATTATTCACAGATTCCATATTTGTGAATTAGCCTACTCACTAAAATTTACTTATCTTATTTTTTATTTTTTAATTTATTTTTAACCTAAAAAATCAGTATTCATGGCACTTTCAAGGTCATTAGTGAACATGTCCACAGCAGTGAAAAATTGTCACTTGCCCTGTATATTCCCAGCTGAGGTCAAGCAAGATGACGCTCTGCCTTCTTGTTTCAGTTCTTTAAACAATCTTTATCATGGTCGAGTTAGTGCCAAATTTTTTACGTTTTTGCACTTTTGTTTGGTGATCTCATTCTTTAAAATGGTCACTAAGTGTAATACTGAAGTGTTGTCTAGTGTTGCTACACAAGCACAAGAAGGCTGTGATGTACCATCTAGGGAAAGTATATATATATATGTTAGATAAGCTTAGTTCAGGGCATAAGCCACAGTGGAGTTGGCTCTGAGTTCCATGTTAATGATCAATAATACATATTAAATAAAGTATCTTTAAATAGAAATACATCTAAAGTAAGGTCATGCATTGACTAGTTAATGAGAATGTGACCAGAGGCTCACAGCAACCAATTCTGTATTTCCCCTAGGAGCAATGGCTCAGTATTTGGTAATTCAGTGTCTTTGGTAACTTTTTTTTTTTTTTTGAGTTGGAGTCTCACTCTGTTGCCCAGACTGGAGTGCA